ACAGACACTGAGCACGCATGGCCCCTGTCTTCACCAGGAGGCTGTGACAGCAGCTGTTGTTATTTCAACTTGGGGTCTTACACCAGAAAGTGGGTTTTGAAATGATTTTGTAGGTCACAGATCATAGTAATCAGTGCACCCTTGAAACAGTTAATTTGTTTCTCTCAAGCTTGTTTGCTTGAATATTCCTGACAACACAATCCCAGCTACTCTGTTTCTGAAAGTTTTCAAACTATTCCATATTTCGTGTTTGCCTTTGTTCTTGAGAGTCAAGCAGTGTATTGAGGGTGACTGGCTGTCACCCTCCACTAGCTACCACCAAGTAGATGAAAGACTTTGCTGTACCAAATAACAGTAGTTTCATGTTCTCTTTGTTGTTGTTCATCCCTGCTCAGTATATGCATAGTACTGTTCAGGGATCCCAGATGATTGTTGTCTTTCCTGAAGGAAGAGAGAAAAGGAAGAAAACTGCATACATACAGAATTTTTTAGTCCAAAAGCAAGTTAATAAAACACCAGCATTTTTAAAATATTACCAGAATTATTAACGTTAAGAAAAATGAAGGAACACAGCCAAAAGTGCCTGAGTACCAAAGCCCAGAAGACAGCCTGTTCAGTGCATTCTGCATCTTCCTAGCTGGAACCTGGGAAAACATGTGGCTAGCCAGAGACATGTTATCTGGCCAGGAAGGGCCTGATGGAAACTTAGTCATTTAAAAAAGCGAGGCCACAGAACCAACACCATAAATCTCTGTATCAAAACCCCCCCAACATCTCCAAGCTCATTTAACTTATCAGCTCAGGAGTAGATTTTCTGTATGAACTGAAAAGTGTGTGACCTAATGCATGGTACATAAAGTAGGACCAGCGTTATAGAACCAGTGTTGATGAGGGTTCCTTCAGCAGTCTACCTAATGTTGCTGATGAGGGGTATTCCATCAATACTGCAGCACAAATTATATGGATAAAGGTGTTTTAACATGTTTTTCCTCAGCCTTAAGAAATCTGTCAGAATACCAGACAGTCCTGACTGCACATCTCTCTGTTTGGCCCCTTGTTCATGTCCCTCAAAACTCAACTGTGATGTCAGTCACCGAGTTTGCCATCTGCTTTCTGCTCCCTGTCCTCTTTGCCCAACCTTCTCTCCTAAAATCTCTCAAGATGGCATCATCCTGAAGTCATGAAATGCAAATCAAGTACAACTGTCTGATTGAGTGGGGTGAGGGAAAGCTATTCCAAAGTGATCAGTCCCCTGATACCGTTGCTTGTATCACTGCTTTTTTTTCCAGTCATGTGGCCAACTCTGTCAACAAGCACAAATTGAAATATATGCATGCTGTCCATTCAAACTATTTGTCACTGTGTTTAGGACACTTAACAAGGTTCTCACTGTTTGTTGGTAGTTACTGAAAGTGGTGCTGAGAAAATGAATGGATTACAGAAAAGGAAGTAGAGAAGCTCATTCATTTTTTTCTACTGTTCAGCTTTCTGTGGTTTCTGATGAACCATGCTGGCTACCCAGTACCCTGAGCTATGAATTCAGGTGAAGGTGGAAGTGGATGAGTGCGTGGATTATCAAGGAAAGTACCACAAAGCCATCATGTATAACTGATCCAGACACATGTTTTCCAAAGAGTTAAGCTGTTGCTCCTGTTTTAGTCAAATGGAAAGGATGTGACATTTCATGGCAACATTGCTGTAGGGACTGACTGTTGTCAGCTAACACATTTTGCAAGCATTAGTGCCTAGTATTGACAAGATTATATGTCACTTAAAATTGCATTAATCAAAATGCATTAACTAACAAGACCTAAAAAAGCAAAGCTAAAATACAAGACCTCTTAGCATTTGTCCCAGTTTTCACGGAACAGAATATTCCATTTCATACTGAGGAAAATTATTTTTTGTCAATGACTTATAATTGATGAATATTTAAAAAAAGAAGTATCAGCGCTTCTGTAAAAAGAAAAAAGCTTTTTCTTTGGGAATAGATAGTGCCAAAATAATGTTATTTTGCTTAAATAACATTTTGCTTAAATAAGCTGTCACATGCTATCATTTCTCTCCTTCTTCCACAGCCTACACATGTAATGAGCAAAGCAAAGATGTGTAATTTCAATCAGACCTTTATTTACTGTTGAAGGCAAACATATAGTTAATTGCAAAAAAAAAGTAAAGGATGTGACCAATATTGCAACAAGTAAAAGGAATTACAGATTCAGAATTTCATTAGGAAGAAGTTAAGCAGAAATCCATTTTACTTGGATATGACAAAGGTGTTAATTATAGTTCCTTGAATACTAATAATATGATAATTCTTAAACAAAAACCCACTTTAAAATAAGTTCAGCACCAATAAGTTGGAAGCTGAAGAGTAAAGAAGCATTGTACAATTTATAGTAATCCCTTTTCTTTTAGGACAAGTCCAGTCAATTAATGGAACAGATGTTACTGATCCTATATGTATGTATATTATTCTGTTACTCTTTGTTGTTTGTTTTTTTTTTTATTCTGGAAATGTGTAGACATCATCCCTTATGATTTGAATTATACTTATTATTACTGCCTGTCTACCTGTGACTTTCGGTATAATACTTCAGGGTCCCAAAGATGAGAACACATTCCTGTTTGTATAGAGCATCATGACAAAAATCCTGGGGTTTTGTAGATCAAGATATATGTCCATTGGCTGGTGATTTCTCTGGCCCTTTATCAGGTGCTCTTCTTCCTAGAAGGCCATTGGCATCGAAGAATGAGTCAGATATGTTGCTTTGAGCACAGTCTCCTGCTTGTGGTTATTTTCTTTTCCACGGGCTTTATGGTTCCTCCTCATCTTTTGATGGGCTATCATGTGGTAAAAGAAGAGCTATGGGACCCCCAGAAAAGTTGGCAACCAGCAGTGAGGCTGCTTCTGCTGTAACAGTTTGTCCTGCTCCTTGTCCACATACTCATTAGTAGCTCCAGTGGTTGCAACCTGCTGCCAGCTTCTGTCTTCCCAAGAGGTCCTCGGGCACTGGTACACAGACAGGACATCTGCATGTGTCTGTGTGTCTTTGTTTATTGCAGTTGATCTGTGGGTGTGTAGTAGACCCAACACTTTCCCAGAAAGAGTCTGACTGTGTGTGGGCAAGTGGATGTACAGTAATTTCATTGTAGGTATGGACAAGATCCAGAGGTGGATCCACAACACCTTTACTTCCAGCCTCTCAAAACAAGTAGGTCAACCACCCAGCTGGAAGACCAGGGCACTCCTTGTTCTGAGTTTCCTTTTTACTTTCATTAAACCAGAAAACATGCCAAAACAATGAAGAGATTCTTAAGTAAGGGAACATTAAAACTTTCAACATTAATTAGGCACTCAGAAGATTAATCATACATATGCAACTCACTCCCTGTTGCAGTGGAAAAATTGTTTTCCTTAACATATTTCCATAACACTTAGAATCCTAGAATAGCTTGGGTTGGAAAAGACTTTAAAGACCGTCTAGTTTCATCGATATTGACATTTATGCTTGTTTATGCTGAAGAGCTGTTGAACTCAGGAACAGAACGTCTGGTGAACCATCACATGAGGCAGTGGTTTATCTGCGTCACTAATTTTTTTTAAGCAGAGCCCAGCAGTATGTAAAAAACCTTTTGGTTTCTCTCTGTCTTCCAGAATAAGTTGTATAGAATATGAATGCTCTTATTCATCTTTGTTCTGCTACATTACAATATTAAGATATTTTATATTGCATCATAGTTGATCATTATAGTGTGAGCACCTGGACTCTATCCTGATCCTGCAAAGAATTGTGCATGCCCATACCTTTATGTTATTTACATAATATACTGGATGTGAACAGCACTATTTTTCTTAGGAAAAAGAAGAGTGAAGTAGTAGTAGAGTAGTAAACTAAAGTAAATAAGCACTTTGTGTTTCTAGACAGAATCTCATAGTACAGTCACCTTCTTAAAAAATGTAAACATTACAAAAAGCTTCCAGTTGGTTAGATTTATTTTTTTATAGGGCACTGAGTAACCTATTCACTACTTTCTCATTCATCAAGTGAGTTCTTCAGGAAAAGACATCCTGTCATGCTGCAGACAAAGCTATGAGCAGCGTCAATACTGTTAATGCCTCAAATAATGACTGAAAGGGTTGCAAAATGATACATTGTTATCTGGCAGGCATTGATCATAATTACATCACTGATAAAGGCAAAGTATGTCAAATGTTGTGTTTTAAATATGCCCTTCAATTAGAATAAAAAATGTAATGGAAATAATTTCAATAGTAGCTGTGTGATCCTTCTGAATGCAAAATGTAAATGTTTTGCATATCCTCAGGATGAAAGGAGTTATCACTCAAAGCTATTCACTTATTAATTTTCATTTAATAGTCATGGTATATCAGACATTGTAGATCGTTCATCATTTTGCTTGAGGACACTGCAGAACCCTGATAACTATGCTCTGTGTAAAATTTAATTCCCTGGCTTACCTGCTTGCTTGGATTGAACTGCAGAATCTTAATTTGCTGTCATGGTTTCCATGATCCTTTGCTCATGTCATATTGTTGTTACAATGAACACGTTACACATACAGCATAGCCTTCATCTTCTTACAGCAGAGCACAGACTCTTTCATCCTTGCAAAGTGAATAATTAAACTAGGATTTTAGTGTTTGTGCTTGCTTTTGGGTTTATTAGCTCTAACTGTGAAAACTTAATCAATTATTTTGCATGATCCATCTGACTAGCCCTTGAAAAAATGGACTAGAGTTTTCTGCATATCTGTTCTGTGGCTTGAAGCTATCTCAAAATAGCACTGTTGTAGAAATGGATTCTACTTTGCCAGTTGAATAGGTGGCTTTTTTATCATTACAAGCTTCAGATTTGCGTAAGGACTACAAGTGAGATGCAAAATTACGGAGGACGTTTGTTGATAAGGTCCTATGGTGTAACATAATTCTTCTGTTGTACCTGCCTCACTTGAATTTGTTTTTTTTGTTTCTGCAGACTCCAGAGGAAGGAGCCTCTACAACCATCTATGCAGCAGTATCGCCTGAGATGGAAGGAGCTGGTGGCTGCTACCTTTACAATGAGGAAAGGACAAAATCGGCTGACATAGCATATGACGAGGAGCTGCAGAGAAGGCTCTGGACAGAAAGCTGCAAGATGGTTGGGATTTCTGATGAAACCAGCAGACTTCACTAGAAGAAGCCACTTTCAGCTGGGTAAATGAAATGCATTGAAAAGCATCTTAGGTGAATCCTTGAAGCATCAGTCATCATCCTGGAAATCACTGTTCAGTCCCAAAGGCAAACGTGAACAGCTCTGTTCTTCACTTGAACCCCAAGTCTGCTAGGGTGTGAGGGGAGTATTCCCACAGAAAGATGTAGTGGTTGGTTTTAAATCTAACCATCAGTTTTGTAAATCATGATGTTTCAGTCCGTGATTAAAATACAGTCTTTAACCTTGTGCGGAGTTGAGTTTTCCTTTTTCTGTTCTACAAAAATAACACTTTCTCTGGTGAACGTGTTGCATCTGGGACATTTTGTACATATAAGCTACTCTTTTAAATCAGTTTTAAAAGTTGAAGCTTGATTTCCTTAAGCTTCATTAATCTTTAAGACACTTTATAATGAATGTCAGCTTGTTCTAATGCAGAAATTTGGCATTCATGATCATGATGTTGTTTCTATCATAAGGTTAGTTTTATATGTCAGCTTTTATCCAGAGGTATTAACTGAAGGTCAGAACCAAAAAAATGTAAATAAATAAGGTCTTCTTCAGATAGGATATTGAATTTCCTTGTTTGCAGTTCAAGTTCATCTCTCCTTTAAAGATGAGGAAGGGATCAAACATAATAATAGCAACACTGGCTTTGGCAGAGGACTCAGTTGGCCTATTGGCTTATTAGTGGGCTAAGATTACTTCTACCCTTTTCTCTTGAACCCATGTAAACTTGCATCCTCAACTTCTTTCATTTTCTTTGACAATGAGATTCACTCATGTACTCTTGCATGAAGAATCACCTCCCTTTGTTGATTTTGAACCTAGTTCATATGAGTTTCAAAACTAGAGTTCATGGTTTTGAAGAGACAGCAATTAATGCCAGCCCACTTTTTCCTATTTTGCTAAGAGTTTTGGAAATGTACAATGTGTCCTTCCTAAACTATGTCTTTGCCATCTTAAAGAGTAGCCCCTGTCTATTCATCCAACTTACACAGTAGCTAGAGGGTATTTTCCCTTTTGTTCTTTATTTCTTTTCTAAAATTTCCTAACAGCTATTTTATTTTTAAGTTTATTTGACTGTCTCTGAGTGTGGATCTGATATTTTTTTGTGAAGCTATTTCTGGTAAACCCTAAGATTTCTCCCCTCAGTGGGATAGTGGTCAGTTAAGATCCTATCAGTTTTGAAAACACTTCAGTGTCTACAGTTCAGGGACATCTACTTATGTCCACCAAAGTGAATCTTTAAGAATGATGTTCACGTTCGTGGAATAAAAAACAAAACAGATATGGGGCAATATAAAGATAGCCTGAATTTATACAAGCTCAAATATCTAGAATAAAAAAACTGGATTGAAGGTAGAAACATTTTAATAGAAATGGTTGTAAACCATGAGAAACTTACCCTGAAAGTTTCAGTCAAGATTATAAATCTCACAAAAACATCTAGAAGTCTCCATGGAGACCTGGCAGCAATCTCGTGGTACTTATAGGGGGCCTACAGGAAAGATGGAGAGGGACTTGGGGAGTGTAGTGATAGAATGAGTGGTAATGGTTCTAAACTGAAAGAGAGAAGATTTAGATTAGACATTAGGAAGAAATACTTCACTGTGAGGGTGCTGAAGCACTGGAACATGTTGCCCAGAGAAATTGTGGATGTCCCATCCCTGGAAGTGTTCAGGACTGGATGGTGCTTTGAGCAACCTTGTCTATTGAAAGCTGTCTCGGCCCACGGGAGGGGAGTTAGAAACAAATGGTATTTAAGGTTCATTCTGACCCAAACCATTCTGTGATAGTCTGATCTCTCCTCAGTGAAAGAGTCTTTTGAAGCAGGAAAATTGCCCTGTGTCTAGGGAGCCTGAACTCTTACTGTTAGTGGAGTAAGCTGTACTCTACTCCCATCTTGTTGATTTTAGGTGTCATCTGAAAAAGCAGCATAATCGTATAAATGTCCTTGCATTTCCTTTTTTAAGAAATACACAGCAAAATAGAGTAATAGGTGGATGTAAAGATTGTATTCACTTTGAGGCACTGGAAATCACTGCATGGGAGAACCAAATGCAAACACAGTGTTGTGCTCTCATTTGCAGCAGGTTAGAAACAATATGAATGTGTTTCTATGCACTGAACCCTGGGTTAATATCCCTTTTGGGCTTTTTAGCTTGAACTTGGTGCTTTGCTCCAAGTGACCTTACCTCCAGCCTTTGGTTCAGAAGATCACATCTAACTGAAAGTAAGCATACCAATACATCCAGAGACTAGCAAGGAGATGCACAGGGGAAAAAAAATAAAAAATAATATGAACAAAGAAAAGCATCTGGGAACAAAAGTGATAAGCAAATTCCCCTCAGCATTAAGCCATGCATGATCTATTCCTAGCTTCTCAGAGTTAGTATATACAAGGCTTAGCACCAGGAAATTTATCACTCAGTCACTATAGCACTTTCTTTTTATGACTGGTTGACTTTTTTTTGGTAAGTGAATGTAGCGCTTGTGAAATGCGCCAGACTGACACTCTGGGAACTAAATTCCTCTGTTTATTCACGGATCATGCACAGGATGCAGTAAGCCTGCTAGACAGCCAACATTTTGATGTTGCCATAGCATTCCCACAGAACATCATTGCTGCTAGAAGTGTGTTCAGGATTATTCAAACTAGATGGGACCAACTTACCACCAGTTTTAACTCTCCTGAAGCTCCACAATATTTGCACAGGCAGTTTCAAGTGGCATAGGGATTGGTAAAAGAGCAAACAGTAAAGAGAGCTAGTCACACTTTCAGTGTAATCTGAACCACTTTTTTAACAGTCTCAGACCAACGAAATCTGTTTTAAACAACATGGAGAACATGGTTTGTGAGAACCAAGAACACAGATTGTGCCTGTGTGAGGGAAAAAAAATAAGTATCTTAAAACCAGGGATTTCTAGAGCAGTGCAATTCCATGGAGATACAGTTGAGCTAGTTGCAAAAGAGTTATCTCAGGAACTAAAAACGGAAAACTGTGTCAGCTTTGCCATGTCACATAAGCACATGAGCTTGTCTGGAGCAAAACCCAGAAGGGTTATAAAGTGCTGTGTGTCACTGGGGACACTCATTTGTGATACTGCTGCAAAAATCCAAAATAATTCTTAGCATATCTATTGAGGAAAAAAATAGCATGTAAAAAACATGTAAAAACATGTAAAAAGATGACAATGATTTTACTTCTGCACAGAGAAATGGCTAGAGCTGATTTAATTTTCACATTTCAAGGTCATGGAATTTCTGGAGATCTGAGAAATACTGTGTTTCACTTCACTGAATACATGGCTGAGAGGTGGCTTATGCCTTTGCTGTAGCTGCATACATGTAGGAAAAATACCTGGGAGCTTTTTAACCTTGCAAAGAAAGGCAAAACAAGCTCCAGTAATCATAAATTGAAGGTAGACAAATTAACCTTCCAACATGAAAACATGTTCCCTCTCTGTGAGGGTAATTTCCTTTCAGAATATGTAGATTTGATACCTGAAGATAATGAAAAGATGCCTCTGAAATGATACCTGGCAAGGAGGCCAGGTAGGCTCTTAAGCAAAGCAGGTCAGTCACGGTGAAGTCCACAATGACAGCACTTATTTTGATAAGTATGAGAGTGACCCATTCCTCACAGCTTCCAAAATGGATATTTCCCTGCCAGTTTATTGGAAAAAAATGATAACTTCCTCAGTAATTAACTAGTTTATTTATGAACTGTGGGGAAATTAGCTGTATACTGAAGAGTAAGTGCTTTAATCTGTTTGTGAATACTTGTTATTCACACATAAAGCAGTAGCTACATTCTTGCTTCCATTTCAAAACTGATTTAGAGCCCTAAATGTGGAGCCACTAGACACACTTCTGCTGTGTTATTTTATAAATTTTTAAACTTCATAGTTTACTTTTTGCACAACTATCAATTACTTTAGTGCACAGAATTGATATAGCATAGAAACAAAGGACTTTGTTATTTCACATCAGACTTGCTACTGCCTCTTCCAAATGCACAGTAGTTTTAGCCCTAAATATAACAATACATGGAGATATTGAAATGCTCATCCTAAATAAATTTTCTACATGCAAGCTTTGGCTCTTGTACAGTTCCAGTGTTAGACTGACTTTGCTCATTCTATGACATGGTTTTTGCTCCAGCTGCCTCCATGGAAAGACAAAATTGGATTCCAGTGAAGTTAACATGAAATCTGTCACAGATAAGATAAAACTCTCATGATTTTAAGAGTATGAAGGCTGAGGATGTTGACTAACCTGCAATAACTGAAGAACTCAGTGCAACTCTGTATTGTACAACATCAGGCCAGGCAAGATGGGTGAGCTGCAAAGAATTTCTTGAAGGTAATTTTCTTCTTTTTTAAAACAAATCCACTGTGTTTTGGCAATCCACTGTGGTAATACTGAAGGAAGGAAACAGACCAGTGGCCAAGAGAGCTGTTTTCAAATACATGTAGCTATTGGCTTCTATACTGTACAGATCAACCCTTGTTGGCTTCTCTCCCTTTGGAAAAGGACCTTAGCCAATAATCCCTTTCACACAGGCAGAATGTAGCAGTAACCATCATTTATTTAAACAAACACTGTCTAGACTGAAACTAACCACCTTAAAGTGGAAGACTTCCTGACCTCAGAAAAGAAAGAAAAGGGCCAAAAACCAGGCTATGGCACTCTCTGAGTGATATTTAACCTGGTCACGCCTTCACAGGCAGAATGCAAGACACATTAAGATGGTAAGCAGGCTTATGTCCTTTCCAGAGAACACAGATCAACAAACATGGCCTTCCCCTCTATCTTGGCATTGCCTGAACTCTCAAAATGAGCTCAAGTAATATCACTGTTTGCAAGCAGATCCATTTAAACGATCATTTTTCTTCCCTTTTCTGAAAGTAGAAACAGAATTTATTTCAGCTTGCTGACATTTATGGAATTCATTATTTAGTCCATATTGATCTGCATATATTCAAGATGTCTGATGTATCTCAGGCTTTTTTAAAAATACTGAAGGAAAAAAACAAATTCCTTTTTAAGAAATTAAGGATAGGTAAGGGCCAAATTCTACATTCTTTTTCTCAGGGAAAATTTCCATTGAAGACAATGTTGGTTCTTACAAGAAAAGTAAGACCATGCTCAAGAAAGTTAGCGTGAAATATTTTCACAGAACTTTTCCCTTAACTACATTTTACAGCTCTGCTGAAGTTAATGAGACATCCCAGAATCACTG